CTCACGTCCCGGCGCTTAAAGACAACTCTGCTACAGCGTCTGGTATCGATCGTGATGCGAGCGCTCACGTCCCAGACAGCGTCCGGTTGATCGTGAAGCGAGCGCTCACGTCCCGGCGCTTAAAGACAACTCTGCTACAGCGTCTGGTATCGATCGTGATGCGAGCGCTCACGTCCCAGACAGCGTCCGGTTGATCGTGAAGCGAGCGCTCACGTCCCGGCGCTTAAAGACAACTCCGCTACAGCGTCTGGTATCGATCGTGATGCGAGCGCTCACGTCCCAGACAGCGTCCGGTTGATCGTGAAGCGAGCGCTCACGTCCCGGCGCGCAAAGATAACTCTGCCCGTTTTTGGGGATCATGCGCGCGAGCAAGCGCCGCACTCATCAGCATCTCTCCCGGGCCTAGGGCGCCAAACATACTCAATCAACAAACTTCTAACTGCATTTTCCCTCTTGGGTCTCTCCAAAGTGAAATGAAGCTCTTCGCGAAAGTTCACTGTGGTAGACCCGGCCACTGCTGCCAGATCTACAAGCCTGCTCATCCTCTACTCATTACACCAGCAAAACGCCCACATCTAATCCACCAATAACCACCAGGACAGCAAGTTAAAAGCCGGAGACGCCCACTTTCCCGGCCTTCTGAAGTTTGCAAAGCCTCCGCCGCCCCACCTCCTCCTTCTCTCATCGAAGCGTGCTTGCCTACTGCCTCTGCCGTCACCAGTGCCTAGGCCCCGGGGGGGGGATCATGCGCGCGAGCAAGCGCCGCACTCATCAGCATCTCTCCCGGGCCTAGGGCGCCAAACATACTCAATCAACAAACTTCTAACTGCATTTTCCCTCTTGGGTCTCTCCAAAGTGAAATGGTTTTGTTTTTCAGACACCCCAAATCTATTTCCTATAAACATCTCTCAGCGTCATTTAGTGACTCACAAGGCACTTTATCACAAATATACAAGAGATAATGTGTTTTCTATTGAAATTAAGACAGCATGTTGTGGTCTGATTTGTTCAGCACATTATAATTTTAGAAGACTCTTCCTGGCGGGATCAACAAAACGTATTATGTATGAAATACATCATACGGAAAATGATTCTGTGAACAAACAATGCAAAGAAATACAAATTCTAACGAGATTTCCATTTGGTTCCATGTTGAACTTTTTTATTTTTTGGGATTAAAATGGTTAAAATCTTTTCTGAAGACGATCATGTGTTAGAATGCTTCAAAGGAATACACAGTAGAAACAGCCATACATTCAGTTTGCAGCTGTGTTCTTAAGCCCTCTATCCTATCCAAGCAGCTGGTATATTTTGCTGAGTAAGATGACGTCCATCGTGCCTGGATTAGGGAAATGTGTGTCTCTGAGGCCGTCACTTGGAGCAAGCTCCTGTCATAGCATTCTGCGTTGGGTTTCCTCCTTACTAACTTTAAGCTTCTTAGAGGAACAAACAGCCAAGGACTACAAAATAACAGGTCCATCTGTATCCCAGACACCACCTCATTCGACTGCTTTGAAGTACCTATCATGTTGCTTCCCCCATTACATTTTCATAATGAGCGAAGGATGATTTGCTTTTAAAATCTGAACTCAGAAATGTTTGTTATGGTCGTTGTTGTTGTTATTATCCTTAATACAATAAATTAGAATAATGTCACTGTATTTATTGAACTGTTTTTGTCATTGTGCAATGTTGGTTGTGTTGTATGTTGAAATCATGTTTTGTTATGTATCATGAAAAAAAAAGTCTTATTGAGTCCTCCCCAAATAATTAAAGATATTAATTAAAAGATTGGTTTCTAGATCCTATATATATTCTTCTGTAGAAATAAACAAAAATCAAAATATTTTAATAATTGGAAATTGTGATCCTGATTGTGGTCGATCATAAAGATCAATGACTTCAGCCTCTCTATACTTTTATTTTGAGTTATGAAGTGTTCATTGTAGCTCTAATGCACATAAGGATTTTGGGTGTAATAACCAGCTACATTTCTGTCTCGAAGCGTGTTGATATGCTTTGTACCCTCATTAGCTCTGCCCTTCTTCTCCCTGATTGATCTGATGATTCCCACAGATAATCTACTCCTACGTTAATTATGCAGCATTTATATCATTAATATGGTAATTTAGCCATGCAGCAACTGGTAGTACTCTGTTGGCCTCCATTAGCACCATATGCAAGGGTGCTGAATATTTAATCTGGTTGCAGTAACATGTATGAGAGCTTCAGGTGCCATGCCAATGTGCAGACATGAATGTAGAGTGACATGCCAAGTAATAATTGCTTGCTTCTCTAATCTGTTGTTTGTGCAAGCATTTGTGCAGAAAATGCGCAGCTTGGACAGATATTTGATATCAGTATTTGGACAATACCTCTATGGTCACAATAACATACAGCTCACGGACAAATACAGCGTAAAAAGGGAGAACACAACAGATTTAGCGCCAATAGCAGCTAGCACTGTTAGCTCATGGTCGCAACTAACAAGAAAGATCCCCTAAACACTGTGTATTCTAAAGAGAAAAACATAGAAGGTGATGAGAAAAATAAATCTAAATTAAACTTTGAATTTTAGCCAACAGCAACTACTCCAAACATATGTTTGTGTTAGTTCTTGATATTGGCCTAGATGGATCTTAAAGGAGCAACGCCTTTTCTTCATGTGATTTTCTCTTCTCTGTCACAACAGGGTGAGCGGGTGGCAAATGAGAAATTGGTCCTTATGGGGTTCAGCCATTGCAATAACAACTAAGACAGGTGCGCACACTGACAAAAAGCAGGAGGGGGGTGGCGATTAACGCATCCCATTGGTTTAAGGGGGGTTGAACACATCCCATTGATTGTTTGAAAACACATGATAACATGACTACTTTTGGATAAATCATTGACTGCATCTCCAGCAACTCCAGGTTTGTTTCTTCGGTTTTTAGTGGTGTGGGAAACCGGAACACCGGGAGGGAACCTATGGGAAAAAACATGCCACCAAAAAATTTTATTATAGGTTATGGCTCAAAAATCAACATGGTTGAATGAAAAAATATACAATATCCTGGTCTAGAGACATAATCTGCTTGTATTGGTGAAGATTGTTTAATGACAATTTTATTGTCATCCCAAAAGGCATACCAATGACATGGAAAATGTTTGAATTTAAAAGATGATGAAACTAGACCGTCAAGTTACACACTTAACGTGAAACAGTGACTGCAATAGCACTGTCCCTTCATTCTGTGGAGTGAAAACCAAGCCACCACAAACGCCTCATTAAAATTGTCAAATCCCAGATAACTATACAAAACATTGCATATGGGCCAAACCATAAGTTCTTTTATTCCAGCATTGTGACTTACAACATTCCAAACCCAACCAAAACTAGACCAATTTTGTTCTGAATCCGCCTTAGCCAAACATCTTGTGGTACAGCATAAAACTGTGAAAGATTCATTGAGATGCAGAGCTGCTGGAAACATCTTGCCAATATTCAACTGCAAAGATCTCGTAAATTCAAATTCTAGCCACAAAAATAAGGTTTATTTTAAAACAAAGCTGAACAGGCAGAGGGGTGGAGGAATGCCACATTAAGTCAGCGTGTGACCCGGCGCTGTAAGAAGCCATTTCTTATGTGAGGAGCAGGGAATGCCAGAGATGGAGGAACCATGAATTTTAAAGTAAGGGCTCTACAAGGGTCACGTACACTGTAAGAAATGAAATGTTGACTTTACTTAACTTTTTTATGGCAACCGGTTCCACGAAACTGTGTTGTTTAAATTGGAAATGCAAATCACAATTAATTTGAACACCAGATGTTAGATAAAGTATACTCAACATTCTCACTTTACAGTAACATGACAGTGTTAGATTGTATAAGCCCAACAACATTATGTTGGATTTACTAATCTCACATTGGTTCAACCAAACACTGTTAAGTTTGATCAACTTAACAGAAATTAATTATATTTATGTAGTGGGCTTGTGTTGATTCAACAAAACTAAAGTAGTAATGGCTACATTGTTAAGTTAAATAAATACAACATAAAGTGCTTATTTATATTCAAGCTTTTATTTAAACAGGTAATTTCTCTCCACCCATTTAACACATGTACCAACTCAAACATTTTAAATAAAAAATATACAATTAATTAAAAATGTAAAGTGCATAAATGATCCCATATTTAAATCAAAGTAACTTTTCATGAAACACTTTAATGTAAATACACATTGCAGAGCACTAGGAACTGCCTATTAAATGTCTTAAATAATAACAGTGGTTGTGTGTAGTTAATGTTTTCACTCTGAAAATTGGCTAAAGACTGCCAACAGAATTGCTAAACCCCAACAGCTACCCACCAAATGTATGTAGACCAACTAAACATTTGCTTTTAACTTTTACATTTGGGACTAAACTTTGAAATTAACAGCTACTTCCAAATTCTCGTCTGGAGTAAGAAGCAATGCAAAAACATGCAGTGAGTAAGTGAGCATCGGTCCGTTTGAGTCTGTTCGTCTGTGTCTCCATCCGTCTATCTGCGTCCCTGTCTGTCCGTCTGTGTCCCGGTCCCTCTTTCAGTCTGTCTCCATCAGTCTGTGTCCCTGTCTGTCCGTCTCCATCAGTCTGTGTTCCTGTCCGTCCGTCTCCATCAGTCTGTGTCCCTGGCCCTCTGTCTCCACTCTGTGTACCTGTCCGTCTGTGTGTCTAGGTCCATCCATCTGTGTATACTTTTTTCAAAAGAGTACATTTAAGCTAGTCTCAAGAGCACAGCACAACACACATAGTACAGGATGTATATCGAAGAGTCTTTTCAGCCTACAAAGTCCATTTCTTCTCTGTTGCATGTACGGTGTGATATCCACTGATGAAACATAGTCCAAACACATTTTGAAACAGTTAAGTCTTGATTAGATATGTTCGTGCAGTTTGTTTTTCAGAATTTGAACTTTGTTGGAGAGCTTTCTTCTGTCCACTTCCATTAATACCTTTGGAATAAATTCAAAAGTACATCCGAGTCCCTTTCGAGAGTTCATGTCCAGACAGTAGATTAATCCAAGAAGGAGCGCCCATCCAGTTGGAATGTGTTTTAGGTCTTGAAGAACTGCAATGCCATCGATGATTATTCCAAAGTCCTCCAATGAGTCTGATGCATCGGCATGTTGATGTTCCACGATGTAGACACCCAGCACTACTTTCTCAAACTCCTTCTCTGCTCCAACATCGGCATCCTTAAAAGAAAAGAATGGCAGATAGAAAGCTTCAATTTACAATTTAATATTTTCCCATATTGAAATCAAACCCTATAAATCAAGCACAAGGTGTGAGATGGTGACATTTTAATCAAAAATAACGCACACTGCTACAGTAGTTGCATGCTACAACCATTGTACATACGCTCTGACTACCATGCCAAAAAGCATCGCTCTTTTGCACAGCAGTCAACTGCTAAATCTTGTGCAACGGTGAGTGGGTTAAAGTGCGACTAAACACCTGTGCCCAGCCTGACTCCGACCACATGAACATTTGAAAATTCTCTGTAAAAAGGGCATTGCCCGCAGGACCAGGGGACAGGAAGGGGGCTTAGATTTGGGCGTGGTCTGGGCTGTGATTGACTGCTTGCTTGTCAGCTGTCAATTCTGGATTAAAGCAAAAGTTCCATACCAGAAATTCTCATTCCATCCTTGTTTACACACTAAAGATTATCGTTTAGCTACACCAGGACCAGGACATAAAGAGCACTATAAAAGAAACATTCATGCAGTTTATGAGTTTAAAAAAAGTTGTTTTGGTGTTTAGTTTTCCTTTAAAAGTTAGACTAGCAATTGTGTTTCATTATCATTTAAGGTAAATTATCCATAATAAAGTAGATATTTATCTTTATGTGAATTTTGGTCTTAGCATTATTGGCTCTATGCACATAGTATTCATACTTTAAAATGTTCACTAAGTATGAGTAATAAGTATGAATGTTAAAATATCAATAGTACTTCATCCCTACAAGCCTGTTTAGTGAATTCTCACTCATAAGGGGTCTTTATTAGAACATTTGTCACCATTGTTTATATCGATTATACAATGTATAGGCATTGGAGGCTGGGCAAGGTAGGCCTATGAGTTGCGCTGTTGCATTTTTCTTCAGTGTCTACATTACAAATCAGTTTGTTTTGTTGGTGGTGACAAATCTGGCCTGTTTATATAACTATTGCTATAGCCCATTGCTCCCTCTGGAAAATGAGCAGGAGACAAGTCCAACTGAGTGCGTTGTTCTGGGCTGTCCCCAGGTCTTTACCATCTAATTTCTGCATTACTGCGCATACTGAAATTTTTTTCTTTGTGGCAGAGGTTTATTATTGTTTTTACTGTACTCTTATCATTACATCTAGTTCTGCATACAGCAAATAAAAAAAATTCAACCTCTCTACCTAAAAGTTAATTTTACACAGCCCAGGTTTTAGTTTAACAAATTGGTTTGAAATAGCCATGCAACTTTCTTCATCTATTTAGACTTGGAGATATTTGCGTGACAACATGATTTGAATGTATTTATAGATATCAGCAATGTCAAAGGTGTGCTGAAATAAGTGATAACTCACCATGTAGGTCTTAACCAGGTCCTCGGGGTCTTCATTCAAGTACACGCACAAAGCCTTTAGGATGCAGAGTAGTCTTGTTTCAATGTTGGGTTTCTGTGAAAGACCAATTAAGTGTTCTCGTTATACAGTAATATTTGTGTTACATTTTCAAAAAATATATTGAGAAAAGTCAGAATGTTGGGTTAAAGCTGCACTAACTGACTTTGGGATTTTGAAGCCGCGGACTCACTGGCCTCGCTCTTTCTGCTCCCCTCCCCTCACTCACGAAGCTATCGCCCCCCACACACATTTACTGTTGTCGACGGAGCTAGCATCTCCCAATATGGATAATACATGGACATGGATTTGCACTTGGACGGCGTGACCATAGAACGATAGAACCGGGAAGCGCAGAGGAACGAGACTTTCTTCTGGATGGCTGTGTAAGCAGTAACCGGTGACGAGGACGAAGTCTCAGATTAGCTCCGCCGCTTGTTGTGCCAACTCAGCTGCCTGTGCTAACGGACCTGTAGATTTCTCACGAAAGTGGGGACCCGAAACACATTCTCTTCCTTGCTTCATCAAAACTCGATCTAAAATATGTCACGCCAGCACAAATCTGCGCTACTTTTTCTTCAAAAGGACGTATATCCCAATGCACTACATAAAACTGAACAGAGAATTTGAAACTTCTGCAGTTAGTGACCCAAATATATACTCAACCTAAATTCATGAATCAGATCCTCTGAAAATGCATCCTAAAATGTATTCGTTACATCCAGGTTTACCGCGGTCGCATATTGTCGCATTAAAACAGTGTTTTTTCATGAAAACGTGAACAGAAAATTCTGAAAACCTCTGTGCACGTGTATTAAGAATGTATATGTATAATGTATTCTCCGATTAACATTTAATGTGTTTATTGTTACACCATGGATCTATGTGTGGCTACACTGCAGTGGAAATAATGAGATTACATTCAAATCAATGGAGCTTTCTGCGTCTACTGTGAGGAGCCGTATATTTTATTAATAAATACTAGTACGGGGCACCCTGGAGCACGGCTCAGTCGTTCACATGTCTGCTGGCCTTCGGTAAGTCAGATACCCTGGTGAACCGGGTGAGGTCCTGTGTGAGACCAAATATATAACAGCTATGCTACAAGCTAAGCTACAGTCTATGGAGCAACCCCACGTTGCAGTCAGACAGATATGTTTTATCCTTAAACTTCTGTTTGTTTTGGAATAACACTAAATCCGCCATCAAATTGATTTCACTTAGCAGAAATGAAATGATCCGAGCATAATCTGGCGCTCTGGGGGCTATTAGTTTTTTGTTGTTGCGTATGGTTGTGCCATTTCTCTCTCGTTTCTTTGAGATGTCTTCTGTTTTTGAGCCGTGTGAAGTAAGGACGGCTGGCAGTCGGTAACACAACTTATTTTCCCTGTCTCTCCTTTTGCTGCAGCCAAAAACGGCAAAAATGTTGAACATGTTTATGCGGTCCCGGGTGCACGCCACTATCATACAGCGTTTGCTTGTCCTCCAGTATGGCGGATGCCCCGCGAGTTCAAGGCATCGTGACGTCACGTGAGATATCTCTATAACCTTGGCATAGCCATCATTTCGAGTGAAAACGTAACAATACTGCGCATACGCCTTGTACTGATTGAATGCTAGCCAATTCAATATATTCAACAATATTTAAATAACAGCTTAACAGAATCCATGTCGAATATGAAAGTTCTGATCAATAATCATAACTATGACATGAACGTTACTTCTAACAACAGTTGAGGCGAGAAATACGACCCTTAAGGTCATTTTGGTGATTTATTTAGCGGCATAATGATAGGTTGGACTAGCGGGGAGCTCCGCATGTGGCAGAAGCTAGCGTTAGCTGTTAGCAGCTATCAGCTGCTGTGTTTGCAGCGCCATTATTGCGAAAGCATGGTCGGCAAGTCACTGTTCGACGCAACTGGAAAAAAGAGAAACTAACACTGTTTACCTTGAATGCCCGAGCTCAAATTATAATGTGTTTAGTTATAAGTAAATCATACATTACCATGGAAAACCTCCGATAGTCTAGCAATGACTATGTTCCAAAATTAACGACAAAAGACACAACCACTATTGAAAATTACACCATACCGTTTCATGCTGTATAGTCAAAGAAGCGTCTTACTTACCAAAATGACGAGGATTTTCGACCACTCGGAAGTTGTGTCTTTTCAAATGGCTCTCACTCTGTTCGCGGTCAGTGGCAAGCTCTCGGTTGCAAGGGTTGCCAGATGCGGCAAGATTTTCCTGCCCAAAACCCGCGAGAATCCCAACAAAAAACCACCCAAAATGATATTTTTGCGATAAAAAGTTATGGAATCAACTTAGAATATCAGGATACTGTTTATGGCCGTTTTATCCATTAATTAACTACAAGATACATGGAACAAAAGTATGCGAGGAACCGCCCATCTGGCAACCTTGACAACTACGCATGTCTGCGTCATTGCGTCACAGCGTCATTGCGTACATGTTTTGTTTACGTGAAAGAGTTAGGTTGGTTTTAAACATATGTACTGTTTAGCTCTGAAATCTGTTGCTTTTGTGTTATACCAATGCAATATTGTTATGTTTTCTGTAGAAACATAAGAAACACATTAATTTCACTTTAACCATTTCACATAAAGTGCACAACATCACTCTTTCACTTCTTAGAGTGTGGTCTCTCTCTGGTCTCTCTCTGGTCTCTCTCTGGTCTCTCTCTGGTCTCTCTCTGGTCTCTCTCTCTGGTCTCTCTCTGGTCTCTCTCTGGTCTCTCTCTGGTCTCTCTCTGGTCTCTCTCTCTGGTCTCTCTCTCTGGTCTCTCTCTCTGGTCTCTCTCTGGTCTCTCTCTCTGGTCTCTCTCTGGTCTCTCTCTCTGGTCTCTCTCTCTGGTCTCTCTCTCTGGTCTCTCTCTGGTCTCTCTGTGGTCTCTCTCTCTGGTCTCTCTCTGGTCTCTCTCTCTGGTCTCTCTGTGGTCTCTCTCTCTGGTCTCTTTGTATTCAGACACATGGTTTTAACTTGTACTCTTGTTGTTTTCCAGGTTCTGCGATATTTCGATTATGTTTTCACAGGAGTGTTCACTTTTGAAATGCTGATCAAGGTAACGTCTGTCAGAGATGTGCTCTGTAACCATGGTGACAGATAAACACAGGGAGATTAGACTTCTCTCTGGTCTCTCTCTGGTCTCTCTCTCTGGTCTCTCTCTCTGGTCCCTCTCTTTGGTCTCCCTCTGGTCTCTGCCTCTGGTTCCTCTCTGGTCCCTCTCTCACCCTGGGACCACTCTCTGGTCCCTCCCTGGTCTCACTCTGGTCCCTGGTCTCACTCTGGTCCCTGTCTCACCTGGTGCCTCTCTCTGGTCCCTGTCTCACCTGGTGCCTCTCTCTGGTGCCTCTCTCTGGTCCCTGTCTCACCTGGTCCCTCTCTCTGGTCCCTGTCTCACCTGGTGCCTCTCTCTGGTCCCTGTCTCACCTGGCGCCTCTCTCTGGTCCCTCTCTCTGGTCCCTGTCTCACCTGGTCTCCCTCTGGTCCCTCTCTCTGGTCCCTGTCTCACCTGGTCTCTCTCCGGTACCTCTCTCTGGTCGCTCTCTCTGGTCCCTGTCTCACCTGGTCTCCCTCTGGTCCCTCTCTCTGGTCCCTGTCTCACCTGGTCTCTCTCCGGTCCCTCTCTCTGGTCCCTCTCTTTGGTCCCTCTCTCTGGTCCCTGTCTCACCTGGTCCCTCTCTCTGGTCCCTGTCTCACCTGGTCTCTCTCCGGTCCCTCTCTCTGGTCGCTCTCTCTGATCCCTGTCTCACCTGGTCTCTCTCCGGTCCCTCTCTCTGGTCCCTCTCTCTGATCCCTGTCTCACCTGGTCTCTTTCTGGTCCCTCTCTCTGGTCCCTGTCTCACCTGGTCTCTCTCCGGTCCCTCTCTCTGGTCCCTCTCTCTGATCCCTGTCTCACCTGGTCTCTTTCTGGTCCCTCTCTCTGATCCCTGTCTCACCTGGTCTCTCTCTGGTCCCTCTCTCTGATCCCTTTCTCACCTGGTCTCTCTCTGGTCCCTCTTTCTGATCCCTGTCTCACCTGGTCTCTCTCCGGTCCCTCTCTCTTGTCCCTCTTTCTGATCCCTGTCTCACCTGGTCTCTCTCTGGTCCCTCTCTCTGATCCCTGTCTCACCTGGTCTCTCTCTGGTCCCTCTCTCTGGTCCCTGTCTCACCTGGTCTCTCTCCGGTCCCTCTCTCTGGTCCCTCTCTCTGATCCCTGTCTCACCTGGTCTCTCTCTGGTCCCTCTCTCTGGTCCCTGTCTCACCTGGTCTCTCTCCGGTCCCTCTCTCTGGTGCCTCTCTCTGATCCCTGTCTCACCTGGTCTCCCTCTGGTCCCTCTCTCTGGTCCCTCTCTCTGGTCCCTCTCTCTGATCCCTGTCTCACCTGGTCTCTCTCTGGTCCCTCTCTCTGATCCCTGTCTCACCTGGTCTCTCTCTGGTCCCTCTCTCTGGTCCCTGTCTCACCTGGTCTCCCTCTGGTCCCTCTCTCTGATCCCTGTCTCACCTGGTCTCTCTCTGGTCCCTCTCTCTGGTCCCTGTCTCACCTGGTCTCCCTCTGGTCCCTCTCTCTGGTCCCTCTCTCTGATCCCTGTCTCACCTGGTCTCTCTCTGGTCCCTCTCTCTGATCCCTGTCTCACCTGGTCTCTCTCTGGTCCCTGTCTCACCTGGTCTCCCTCTGGTCCCTCTCTCTGATCCCTGTCTCACCTGGTCTCTCTCTGGTCCCTCTCTCTGGTCCCTGTCTCACCTGGTCTCCCTCTGGTCCCTCTCTCTGGTCCCTCTCTCTGATCCCTGTCTCACCTGGTCTCTCTCTGGTCCCTCTCTCTGATCCCTGTCTCACCTGGTCTCTCTCTGGTCCCTGTCTCACCTGGTCTCCCTCTGGTCCCTCTCTCTGATCCCTGTCTCACCTGGTCTCTCTCCGGTCCCTCTCTCTGGTCCCTTTCTCTGGTCCCTGTCTCACCTGGTCTCCC